ACTGCCGTTGATGATATGAACGGTTTGTCTGCAATGGGAACACATCTTGGTCGTAATAACATAGTACGTAAAGCGCTATTTTCGTAGTGAAGTTCCGTTCGGGATCGAAATCGATACCTTCTGGACCTTGTCCATCGCACGTGATACCGCAATTGGTCATCGTTGATGTTTCGATTCCGGGACTGCTACGCGAGTCCTAAGCCACACGTCTAAATGAGCACAAGAAGGGCATAAAGACTTGTGACTGAAGAGCACCAAACGCCATTGCTCTCGCTCAGCCAACAAAAACATGCGGAATGATGCTGTGGCAGTGATCATATGTTCGGTGACATCTTAATACTTAGGCAGAACGAAGAAGAAAGGTGATGCAGTGCGATGCTCAACCTGTCGTGGAATGAGGCGAACATGCATCCTATATCTCGGCTGAAAGCTTTCTTCCACTCCGAGGACTGCTATGAAAGATCGAGAGAGGTTCAAATCAGACAGCAATTAAAGCATGATAGCAGACGTGTATTGATCTCCTTTCTGGGAGATTTTAGAGCATCATAGCTTCCGAATGAAAACGGAAGATACTCAGGTGAGTTTCTCATTGATATACAGTCTTATCCCAGGTATCCCAAGCCCAACACCAAGCAATGGGATATGCACATTCCACAACGCCTCATGACATGCAGCCATCTTCGACGCAAAAGTTATTTCTTCAAGCTTAGAATACACTGATGTAATTACCTATCCGCTCCTTCTGATTCTGTGCGATACACTCCGCAATCCAGGTTATGTTGCGTATTTCCTATCCGCCAATTAGTCAGATAATCTTGTGTCAAGCCGGAGAGTACCGACGTACCTGTTCTCTCAATTTTACCCACGCATATATGACAGCATGAGTGAACTGCCTCGTGAAGGCTGACTTTGATATCTCCATCTCTTTCTGGTAAAACATATCTTCCAAACTCTTTCCATCACTGCCGCCACCACCGCTCATATTACCAGGCCCAGAACCGCCCATACCTCCACTCATGCCAACGCTGTCGAAATACGACTTGTAGTCATGGTTGCCGCTGACGGCAAGTGAAACCCCTTCAATGTCGTCTGCTCTCGACAGCATCAAGGTACCCTCTGGATATAAGCCCCCGAAGCTCGGGTAGAGCTTGTTTCGATCCTGCTTTGACAGCTCGGTACCGAAAGAATTCAAGGTAATGTTGATGGCTCGGCGATCGGCCTCGAATTCCAGCACTTCAGCCATGACTTCCGATGTAGGAGTGTCTTTCAGCTCAGGATGTTCTGTGACAAATTTGTAGAAATCTTCTAGGTAATTCTTGTATAGGGTGTTGCGGATGATCTCAATGTTAAGCTCGTCAAGGTCCTGATGGCTCAAGGAGCCCTTGAAGTACGCGGCAAGCGGCGTTTCGATCAGGACAGAGTTGTACAATTCCTCGATATTCGTTGCTACACAAAGTACTGGCATCGTCTCGAACCATCCGAGGGGGTGACATCTTTCTAGCAGCTCACGTGTGTCTCGTTCATGGAGGGTACCTGTGATAAGTAGCGCCACGTTATCGATCATGTAGCCGTATGTAAGGTATTCCATGAATTTTGCTAAAGTTCCCACGGCCTGCCCTTGGATGTATCTGAACTCTGCGACTAACTTGTCTGTAGTCTTGTTGGCGAGGGATGAGGTGGATGGATTAGGCGGTAGCGATGCGAGAAAATCGCCATAGGCGGGGGACAATTGTAGCTTGACATCTGCAGGTAATGAGCGCCTAAGCTTTGCCTTGGACAAGGGAGCCACGTACCATCAATGGTTTCGCATTGTGTAAGATTACTGTAGTTCTGGCCGTTGAGAAGACTGTTTCGATATCCTCGTACTACTCCCTCAATGTACCTGCAATGATCAATAATGGACTTTCCTAATGGTCGATTAAGAATGCTCTTCATACCCGCCATTTACGTTGAAGAAGAGGCCTTCCATGGCAGTGGATGGCTTTAAGCAAAAGGAACCCTGGTGGGGCGAGTCGCAGATGCAGTCGAGCTCGATATCGCAGAATGCCAAGGCCGGAAACAGAAGCTAAGCCGCATTAGAAATTAGCGAATTTTCTCCAACCTCACGAAAACTTTCTCGGATATCTTTCGCAAGAGCGCACCTGCAACATCAGAAACGGCAACCACCTCCTACATTCTTGCCTACGATGGGGCTCTTCATCCTTCAGTATGCACACTACACAAGCTGTCAATGCCCTTTCTTCCACGCTAATAATCGTTTAGAGAGACTCCTGTGGGGTATGCACTTCTGAAAGCGAAGAGCTCAAAAATATTAAAGCAAGATGGCTTTGCAGCCGAAGACGAGACTGCTGAGGGCATTTGCAGCCTGTACGTATATTCGAACAATTTTGGGGCTTATAGGCGATGGACGATACTAGATCAGATCAGTACTAATCACGTTCTTCTTGTCGTGCAGTCTTAAATTGAAAGATTTTCATAAATTCGACAGCGCTGCTACAGCCCTTGAACAAACCGCTGCTCTGGTGGAGGGCAAAGTTACGCCTCGACTGTCGGGCTTGTTAGACTCGATCAAGGATGAAAAGAAAGTCTCTCTGGCGGTCGCTGACCCTAAGCTCGGTACGATGAGTACTGGTTCTCAAGACCATGAATTCTTAGTTGACGATGTATACAGCCAATGCCATCAACAAGCTGCCACAATTGTCCCTCAATCTCATATCCGACTCCAGTACACAAGACCTCTACCGAGCCATTCGCAACCACCTTCCTTCTTTGATCCCTGGCCTTCTTCCGCAAGACATCTCCTCAATGTCTCTAGGTCTCTCACATTCGCTTTCGAGGCACAAGCTCAAATTTTCGCCGGACAAGGTAGATACTATGATTGTTCAGGCCATCTCGCTTTTAGATGATCTCGACAAGGAGTTGAACACCTACGCAATGCGTGTCAAGGAATGGTATGGTTGGCATTTTCCCGAGATGGGCAGAATCGTGAACGATAACCTTGCCTACGCACGTGTCATTCTAAGCATGGGTATGCGAACAAGTGCTGCGAAAGCAGACCTTGCGGAGATACTGCCCGAAGAGATAGAGGCCGCGGTCAAAGCTGCCGCAGAAGTTTCCATGGGTACTGAGGTTACCACTGAAGATCTTGAGAACATTCAAGCGCTTGCCGAGCAGGTTGTCAGTTTCACCGAATATCGCCAGCAACTCTCTGGTTATCTCTCCGCTCGAATGGCCGCAATCGCTCCCAATCTGACTGCTTTGGTCGGCGACCTCGTCGGCGCTCGGCTAATTGCCCATGCGGGAAGTCTCATGAACCTAGCCAAGAGTCCAGCAAGTACGATCCAGATTCTGGGTGCTGAAAAGGCCTTGTTTCGCGCTTTGAAAACAAAGCACGACACTCCCAAATATGGATTGATTTACCACGCATCCCTGATAGGCCAGGCTACAGGGAAGAACAAGGGCAAAATAGCCCGAATGTTAGCCACTAAGGCGGCGCTGGGACTCCGCGTTGACGCTCTGGCGGACTGGAGCGCAGAGGGAGAAGGCAAGGGGGATCTCGTCACAGAAGAAGAGAAATCTGCACTTGGAGTTGACAATCGGCTGAAGATTGAGCGCCGACTAGCAAGTTTAGAAGGGAAGCCTCTACGATCAAAGGGTGTCGCAATAGCTCCAAACGGTGTCTCATTTACGCCTGGTAAATGGGAAGTAAAAGAAGCCCGGAAATACAACCCGGATGCTGATGGGCTTGCTGGTGACGAGCCAGCTGCAGCTGAACCAGTCTCCAAGAAATCCAAGAAGGACAAGCCGAAGTTGATCGAAGAAGTAGCCGAAGAGCCAGCACCTCAAATGTCGAAGAAAGACAAGAAGGAGTCGAATCACATCAAGCCGATCGAAGAGGTTGTGGAAGATGCCATGCAGGAGGACCAAAATGCCCCTGACGAAGAAGAGGAAGAGAGCTCCGATGAGGAAATGGAAGATGAGCCAGAGCCTCCAATATCTCCACCGGCAACCCAGCCTAAAGCAGCGAGTGAAACGACCACAAAGACAGCAAAGACCAATGGAGTTGAAGATCACGAGGCCAACGGAGACGACAAGTCTGAAACGATATCAACAGTGTCAGCGGACACTCCTGACTCGCCACCTTCCCCTACCCAACAGGAGACCAACTGGCAATCACCTATAACCGGAAACACCAAAGAAGCCAAGAAGGCCCGGAAGAAGGAGCGACACGCTCGAAAGCTCGTGTTATCAGAGGACAGGAGCAAATCGAAAAAGCTCCAGAGAGAGAAATTGGCTCGAAGACTCGACCGTAAGGAGCGACGGCAGAAGCGAGCAGAGCAAATAGAGCGACGGGAGGAAAGGGACGACGCAGAATTCGGTGCTTTGGCCAAAGAGGCAGGTCTTACGATCAGTCGGTATAAGAGGAAGCTTGAGAGAGGTGAGATCAAGTTTGAAGCCGATGGTAAGCCTGTGGCCATTAGCAAAAAGGAGATCAAAAAGGCAAGGAAGGCGGCGGAGAAAGCCGGAAAGGCATCCAAAGCCGATTTGGATACTAGCAAAAAGAGAAAGAGGGACGATGAGGACGCCGAGGCTGGTGCCGTCGAGATGTTGGAGAAGAAAAAGAAGAAGAAGAAGCACCACAAGGGTGAGGCTTAATTGACTGATTCGATGCACTGGGAGCTTATTTGCAGGGATCTCGCCATCTGCTGCGCGGGGATGTATGAATGTTATGGTAATACTCACAAGGCGCTCGGTACTCACTGTACATCTGAGTTGCTTTGGCTTACCCCTATCCATCAGACGGGGCTTCAATCACACAGTCAGCCGAACTGGCTCTCGTCTATGATCGTGCTTCTCTGGTACAAGGACTGAAAGACGCCGCGAACATTGAGAATATTGTACACCAGAATCAAAGCCCTTTCGGTCACGATGATACCCTTAACTCCACATGCCCCTTTCCAGAGACCTTCTTGAATTTTGAACCAGCCATCACATCCCCTCTAAAAAGCTCTCCCATCCCTCCCCCCCTTCTGCACCATCAACCCCACCCCTTCCCTCACAAGGTCACTCCCCCAAACCCCGTCCTGCCCACCTCTCCTCCACTCACTTCCCAGTCCCATCCCTGCCACATCCCCCTCCAACCTCCCGCTCTCCCCCAGAACAACTTCCAAATCCCTCTTCTGGCTCGCCATCCACCTCTTCACAAACGTGACCGGATCCCTTTTGTACCCGTCCAGGAACTGGTATTTCCGTTGCGAGGCGCTGAGGGCTTGGATTAGCAAGGCGAGGTGTTCTTCGTAGGCGGAGAGCTGTTTTAGAATTGGTAGGGAGGGAGGCAGAGAAGGGAGGCTTGGCGGGGTGGGGAGGCGGAGGTTGTAGATTGTGGGTGTCGGGGAAGCGTGGAAGTCGGGATCGACGCGGATGGTGTAGGGCAGGGAGACTGGAGGGAGGGGTGTGAGGTGGGGGAGGATGAGGGAGGGGATGTGTGGGAAGTGGATGGTATCTTGTTTGAAGACCTGATTTGGCGAGCTGTCAGTGGCTATTCTTGAAAGAAATGAGGGCGTACGGAAAAGGCTTACGGCTTTCAAACGGTCGTCGCACTGTATCAACCGCTTTTCTTCGTCCTGCTGTAGCCCCATCGCCTTGACATACTCCCATATCCCCATGATAATCGACGGGCGGTCATCCTCATTGGTGTCGAGGATATTCGCCAGCTCTTTGCTCAGCGTGCAGCGCTCAGGGATCTCGTCACGGTAGAGATTGATCATGCAATTGATGTTCTCGTCGCTCTTCCTTTCGAACTCGAGACAGTCGAAGTCCGCTTGAGGAGGCAGCACTGCTGCATTCGATGCCACTTGCGGTTTCTTCCATTCAACTTGCGTCGTCCCATCTGGCTGGAGGTTCTTGTTCCGATCGAAATCTACCGTGATGGCTTTAACGAAATGAGAGAGCTTTGTTCGTTGCCGGCTCGCTAGCTGTTTTGGCGCTTCCGTACTAGGGGCGCCGTCGTACTCCATAGCGTCCTCACCGGTCTTGTCGTCCTCATCATCACTGCCCTTCTCCGAAGCATCATCGGCATCCTCATCTTCGATCACTCTCCCCTCAATCTTGACCCTGTACGTAGCCTCGACACCACTTGTAAAGTCGAACGCATTTTCGTCTAAATCTCTCCCCTGCCACGGCTGGTTTTCCACCGTATTCGAGATCCAGATCCGCACAGTACTGTACTTCTTCGTAGCATTGTGTAATGAATCCTGCTGATCCAGCCTCTTCCTCATCATCACAGCATCGAGCTTCCTCTCCAGCTCCCGCAGTTTCTTGTATTGCTGCACCCCATCTCCAACGATCAAGTCTTCAATTCCTTCTGGCATAGCCTTGTCTGTCGGTTTCTCAGCTCGCCGTTTCGCACTTGCAGCTTGCTCGGCAGTCCGTTTCATCTGCTCCTGGTTTTGCGCGTCAAGCATCTTTTTCGCATCTTGCGGCATGTGGGCGGGATTGATGGGTACTGCATGATTGTGAGCTTCAGATACAGCTGGGGCAATGGAATCATGGTCGATGTACTTACTTTGACCTCGTCTGGTTGAGGATGTATGGGGTGACCGCTGGGGCATTTGTTGATAATTTTGGGCATATCGTTGCTGCATGGCGGCGGGATTCATCTTGCCGACTGCGGCTTTGGACCAAACAAAGCAAAAATTTGGCGGCTTGAAGCACCTTTCCCTGAGACTGACTTTGACGTATCATATGCCCTTGCGCAGCAAGGCGCGTCTGATATCGGTACTTCGGAGAAACATTTGTTCCGCGGGCTCTTGGGAGCTTGGCAATTAGACTGTTCGGCAAGACGGCTACGCTAGATCTTAATTGGGTAGAGCGTGATCTGACAGAATATCACGACGATTATTTAAACCCCTCGATATCCCCTCGCTGTCTTTCCATCACATTCATACCTGGGTGTTACTCTGCTCGGGATCCTTCTTCTTAGACCCCACGCTATGTGAACCTCATATGCGGTACGTCTTACCCTTGATCGAGGTTTGGGCCAGGAGTCGAGGATGTTAGTGCCTGCGATTTCTATCCAACGGCATGATCGACACAAAACCAATGCAGGAGAAAGGCAATACCGCACAGCCCCCTACCAGCTGACACACGGCTCGAAGATGTTATTCTAAAATGGCTTCGTTCACGGTGGTCGAGACTTCACGATTGCTGGCGATTTAACACTTGCTCCCCGTTAGGCGCAGCTGGGACAGAGGGCGGCGTCGAGCTGCTGCAAATGCGCCTTCATCACAGAACCAATGCAGGAGGAAGGTCATACCGTACAGCCCCCTGCCAGCTGACATACGGCTCGGGGATGTTATCCTAAACCGGCTTCGTTCACGGTGGTCGAGGCTTCACGATTGCTGGCGATTCAACACTTGCTCCCCGTCAAGCGCAGCTACAACAGAGGGCGGCGTCGAGCTACTGCACTGCGCCTCCACCAGCTGACCTGTTTTTGTGACGCGGCCGGCATTGCAATCTTGATAAGGTCATGCTCACAACAATTGCTCTTCTCGTTCTCCACCTCCTACTGGGTCATTGGCTCATTAGTATGGTTGATTGCCGAGAGTACGGTGCTCGAGGCTGTTCCCCGAATGACGAGGAAACAAATTGCCACTCGCACCTTTTGGAGGCTGGAAAAATATGGACGCGAGCGAGCGTCGCAATTACATCTTTGTACCTACGGACGACGGTGAGCTCGCCCGTGACTCAGGCACTGTGCGGGAAACTGACACTCAACGAAAATAGGGACTCGCTCGATTGGCTGTTCCGGGAAGATTGGGGAAAAGAAGGAAATCAAAAAAGCTACATAGGATCTAGAGAGGGAGAAGGAGACCTCTTTAGCTCTGCACATGAGCGGCAGCCTGCTGTGATCTACAAAGATTCGTGCAGTAGCCATGCGCAGACTATTATTCTGGTTGGGTGCTATCTGGGATGAAGGAGTTGATGTGACTACACTGTGCCGCCATCCATGGGCTTATCTACTCCAATCAGCGACCATCAAGCCTCAACTACGACGATCGAGCTCCGGCGATGGTTTGAGCTCGTGGAAGAGGCAACTACGTAGTTCCATTTACTCATGCCCGTCTCGAGTAGCATTGGGTAGCGGCACGCGCATCAAGCCGTCCAACGACTTCTCGCGCTCTCGGTTGATGATTTAAAGTCTGAAATGACCAACGCGAGCGTTTTGTGCCAGCTGAAGGTTCTTATAACTCCTTGGTTTACGTCCTGAAATTCTTCGGTGTTATGACCCGCTTGCGCCAACGACGGACGTGCCTACTGCGATATTAGACGAACCACCTATCGATGTTGCTATGGCCCGCAGAAAACAGCTTTCCCTCCGCGTGTCATCATGCCCCATTCTTAGAATGCCGAAATGGTGGCCTGAGTTCGCGAGAGAAGCAGGTATCAACGTGACAAAGGAAACGGCCATCAAGTGCGAAGATTGCGGACAGCGCGGTGAGCTTACTTGACCGTCGCCTTTAGCAATCCACTGACTGGCTTATCCTTAAGAATCAATTTCGTTACCTCGTGGCTCTCCAACATTTCCTAGCAGCGACAGCAACATTCCTATCAGTCTAATCGTTCCATCGACTCTCCCCACCTCACAAGAGGAAAAGCCCATTACCCGCCTTACCGATGGCATTTCCTCTTCACTACCTACACGAATCTTTCCTGAGAATACGTTTGTCTCGGAGTCGCTGGGAATCGAATCTCAAGACAGGTTGTGGAAGGTAGAAACAATACTACAGAAGCGTACCGACCGAGGTCGAGGAATGTATGCGAAACGTGCCATTTGGTACAACGGACGCCCAGTTAGTTGTCTACTAAGGAGTTCCACTATGCACAGAAGACTTGGAAGATTATCAAGACCTCGCAGGACAAGCATGCAGGAAAGGGAGGAGCTTTGAGTCATCATGAGATGAGAGTTCACTGGGCCCCATTGTGGGTATCGTCCCTCGAGCTCGCTGCAACACTAGAGGCCTCGGATGCAAGCCACGTGTCTCTCGGGTAGTATTGTGGTGGTGCTGTATGCTATTGAGACTGAGTAGTCCGAGCTGTGTTGCTATCATTATATTATGCTATGTAATGAAGTATTCGTCAGCGATCATAGTACAATGGTGTCACGTGTAACGATAGATTGCCAGCTTTCTTGCAGGAGCACTCGGGGAGGCCGTGCAACACTCCTGGGCATGCTTCTCCCGCGTAACGGTGTTTTGCCTGGAGGCCTTGCCACGTATATTCTATAGCCAGTCTTTAGCTGTCACTTCCCTCACGATACTGGAGCAGCACTACTGGTACTCTCCCGCCTTGTACCCTTTGGCCTTGATGGGGGCAAGGCCGTCAAGCATGGTGGGTGGGATGGTGTGGGAGGAGGAGAGGAGGAGTAGACCTTTTTCTAACCTGCCTCACATATTCTATACTCTGTACTCCGTTACGACACCAAAATCTTTCTCTCTTTACCCTCTTATTCTTCCCTCACTCATACCGTAATTCTATCAGTCCACCCAGCAAGAGCAGAATCTTGGGAAAGATTTCCTGGAACCTTCGAAAAGGGGGAGCGTCTTCCTGGAAACCCTGCGACAATATTCCTATAAGGCTTCTCCCAGGATCGAGGGCTCATAGATAACCTCAAGTCTTTGTGGACGCCTTAGACCCCCAGGTGAGACCTCCATTAAGATCACAATCTTGGAAGAGATTTCCTGGGACCTTGAAAAGGAACCTTTCCGAATTCCCGTGGATGTTAAAAATCGTGCGAGAATATTTCTATGAGCTGAAGGGAAGCTACGTGTGATTGAGACTCCCAGAAGGACAGAGTCGATGCTGAAGGCTGCACCATTGATACGAGTCAACGCCCCCTCGCGTGTACAATATTAACTTACCACGCTTACCTACACACCTCTTACTACCAGGCTCGCTGAAACCCTTTCTAGGTATCATTCCTTCCTTCCTGTTGGAATGGATGAAGGATTGATTCTATGGAGTGATTTGTGGGCTACTTAAAGTATATCCAAGCTAATTTGCCACCATGAGGGCTAGCTACACAGTGGACAAGTTCCGGCGCGCTTCCGCAATCCATCACCAAGTACTGCAGCAAGTAAAGTCATACACGAGGCATCCTAAGTTCTCCGCGTAAGACAACGTCAGATACGCAGCATGAGATCAGACTATGAATGTAATGCCATGTTCCTGCGTCCACCAGCCTAAATTATATAACCAAAGACCTCATCATCAGACGTGCGCCTTGGAGATTTATACACCTCTCGACTCTATATCATCACTAAGCTTCTAAAAATTAATATGTGCTGGGGCGCGGGCTTCCCAGTAGTGAAAAGCTTGCTGAGTACTGGTTTTTGATTATTTAATTCTTAGAGAGACCTTCTAAAACCCCTCGAATCCTTCGAAAACTCTTTAAGAGCTCTTTGAGAGCTTCTATCGAGGGGCTATTAAAGTAAATTTAAAATTTAATTATTTTAATAATATTTAATTAATTTTAAGCTTACTTTAATAATCTCTCGATAAAAGCTTTTAAAGAGCTTTTAAAGAGTTTTAAAGAATTTAAATAATTTTAAAAGATCTAATTATAAGAATTAAGAGAGATATTATAATTTATTTAATATACTTAGAGGGAGATCCTTTAAAACTTCTCTAACCCTTCGAAGACTCTTTAAAAGCTTTTCGAGAGCTTTTATTAAAGAGGCTCTTCTCGTATAAAGACGTAGTTTACTAGCGGTTAGCTAGCGAATATAGACTATAAAAGATATAGAGTCGTTATAAGATTTAATAATATATTTAATAATAGAACTAATCTTTAAAGAATTTTAAAACTTCGAGATATATAAAGTAAATCTATATTCGTTAAATCTCTTAATATATAAAATATATTATTAAAATTAAACTCTAAAAGAGATTCTAATATAATATATATAATATCGAAGTCTAGCGCTAAGGTCTATAATAGTATTAGATTTAATAATTATTTTCTCTTTTAAACTTTAATTCTTAGACGCTTAAATAAATAGAATATTTATTAAAAAATCTTTAAACTCTAATAAGAAAATAAGAGAAAAGAGTCGATTTAATATAATATCGTTTTAATAATATAATAGAATTAACTATTATATATTATAAACGCGCTATTAATATTAGTATATATAAAAGAATAAGATAGAGCTAAGCTTAAAAATCTTAAATTTATATATATAGCTAATTATAAATTTAAGTTCGCTATACTCTTTAATTAAATCGACTAAGTTAATTTAATAACTCTTTTATATTTTTCTTATTAAAAATTTATATATAGAAGTTTTATACTTTAAAGTACTTAGCTTATAATATATATAGTTACTTTATAATTTCTTAAATTATAGAGCTCGCTTTACGCTTTCTAACGCTATAAAAATTATAAAGTTTAATTTACTATTTATAAAGTAAAGTAGTATTTAAATATAATTATATAAAACGCGTTCGAAATTAAATAATCCTTTTATCTATTTATATAATTATTATTCTTTTATCTCTTTATTAATTCTACTAATTTCATTAATATAAATATATTTATTTTTAATATCCCTCGTCTAAAGATTATTAAATATCTAAGATATATATATCTCTTTTTCTT